AACGGCATTCCTAGAGACCAGTCTTTCCAGCGAAAGGCCGGGTACGTTCAGCAACAAGACATCCACCTCGAGACATCCACTGTTAGGGAAGCCTTGCGATTCAGTGCCATGCTGCGCCAGCCAGCTTCGGTCAGCAAGCAAGAGAAGTACGACTATGTTGAAGAGGTGATTGGGCTTCTGGAAATGGAGGCCTATGCGGATGCCATTGTTGGTGTACCCGGAGAAGGTCAGTGTTCAACCCGCCATTGCATCTCGTCCTTGAAGATTGTTGAGCTAATTCACACTGTCACAGGCTTGAATGTTGAGCAACGTAAACGTTTGACCATCGGCGTTGAACTCGCTGCGAAACCCGATCTCCTCCTATTCCTCGACGAACCGACCTCGGGCCTCGACAGTCAGACAGCGTGGTCAATCTCGTCACTGATCCGAAAACTCTCTGAAAACGGCCAAGCCATTCTCGTGACAATCCACCAACCCTCCGCTCTCTTGTTTCAGCAATTCGACCGTCTTCTTCTCCTCGCACACGGTGGCAAAACAGTCTACTTCGGCGACATTGGTGAGAACTCCCGCGTGCTCACGAGCTACTTTGAGCAGTACGGAGCAACGCCTTGCGGACAGGACGAGAACCCCGCCGAGTGGATGCTCAAAGTCATCGGCGCTGCTCCGGGCGCCAAGGCTGAGAGAGATTGGCCCGAGACCTGGAAGGAGAGCCATGAGTGTGCCGAAATAAGCCGCGAGCTTGAGCGTCTCGAGCAGGGCGCGGCGACTAACAGCTCGACGTCGAGTCCCGATGAGATGTCTACTTACGCTGCGCCGTTTCATGTTCAGCTTGCTTTATGTACCGAGCGTGTCTTCCAACAGTATTGGCGGACACCGTCGTACATTTACTCCAAGTTGGTCTTGTCTGGTGGCACGGTACGTGTTAATAATAATTGATCGACGACCTCATGAATCTTCAACTAACACTTTGTGCAGAGCTTGTTCATCGGCGTATCTTTCTACAACTCACCACTCACGATGCAAGGACTCCAGAGTCAGATGTTTTCCATCTTCATGTTGTTGGTAGTCTTTGCGTTCCTGGTCTACCAGACGATGCCCAACTTCATCCTGCAACGCGAGCAGTACGAGGCGAGAGAACGCGCCTCTAGGGCATACTCTTGGTATGTGTTCGTGCTCGTGAACATCATCGTCGAGCTGCCCTGGAACACTCTGGCTGCTATCGTAATCTTCTTCCCATTCTACTATCTCGTCGGCATGTACCGTAATGCCATCCCAACGGATGCGGTTACGGAACGTGGTGGCCTCATGTTCCTACTCATCTGGGCCTTCATGCTCTTCGAGTCGACTTTTGCCGACATGGTTGTCGCTGGTGTGCCGACAGCAGAGATTGGCGCGACTCTCTCTCTTCTACTCTTTGCCTTGTGTCTGATCTTTTGCGGGTCAGTTCAACACCAGTCCGATCTTCCTGACATGTTGAAACTAACAAATCAACAGTGTCATTGTACCGGTAAACGCCCTTCCAGGTTTCTGGAAGTTCATGTACCGCGTCTCACCCTTGACCTACCTCGTTGAAGGCCTCTTGTCAACGGGACTAGCACACAACAACGTAAACTGCTCTCGACTCGAGCTACTGCAGTTCAGTCCAGCGAATGGAACCGCATGTGGTGATTATATGGCCCCGTATATGCAAATGGCCGGCGGCAGTGTCTTCAACCCCAACAGCACCGACGTCTGTCAATTCTGCCCTCTGGCTACGACAGATGCTTTCTTGGCTACCACTTCTACCTCATACGACAGGCGATGGCGATCGTACGGGCTGATGTGGGTCTATATCATCTTCAACTTGTTTGCAGCTTTGTCGCTGTATTGGCTGGCCCGGGTGCCGAAGAAGCACTCAATCACCCAACTTTGGAAGAAGGAGTCTTTCTAAGAAACCGAATCTCGGCTTTCTCGGCTTCAATCACTCAAGATAGAAGGGCAATGAGGGCCTCCGAAGTGTCAGTGTCTTTCTCGAAGGACTCAAACATGCATAATTACTAGTCCCTGACAACTTGCTTTCTCATTCACTTTTTGACTTGATTATAGAGTATTAGGAAGAAGCTTTCTTTTACAACATGGTATTTCGTGCAGCTGCATTATAGATAAACTTCCAAAATCAAGACGTCGCTTTCATCTGCGGAGTGCAGTCAATGCTTTTGCTTCCTTCCGAACTCAGGTAAATCGGACTGAGCAAATATCAATGGATTCCGTTCCATTTATTGAGAATTCAAAATTTTTCAGCAATTCTCGTGGTGTTTACATTCGTTGTGGTTGAGTAATTAATAAGGGAATGTCGGAGTTTAAAAGACTCTATCTTGCCCATTGCATGTTGATTGTATATATTGCAGTTGAATCATACATACTCATCATAGAGCGGTCGCAGAGCACAACTTGCATGCTATGTGAATACTATTTCATACAAATGAATGGTCTCAAATTCAACAGTTTAAATCAATTTTGTTTACATCCGTCAATGGAGACTGCCCTTGGAGCAGTCTTGGCTCTGAACGGAGGAGGGGTTGCAACTTGTGGTGGTGCGCCCAGAGCATGTTTCCATATCTGTTGACAAATCATCATAGTAATTTGTCTGTTGCACAATCGTTGATTTGTAATTAAGTGGCATGATAAGATCCGCGTCGGAGGCACTGCGCCTCTTTCATCAGCCAATGTCGAGCGTTCGGGGCTTCAAGTGTGCGGGCATGTCCAACGGTGGCCCCAAGTTGTGGATGTGTGGAACTGATCCTGAGAATTGCGTGTTGACATGGAGCGGGGTAATTCGGTGCTGATAAGTGTTTTCGGCAGTTTCAGAGGCTGAGAGCCACCGATGAATAGTTGATCATGATCTCTGGCCTTGATGTGGTCCAGTTGGCATATCTTGACGGAACGGCCCCGGTCTGGGGCCGCATCGCCAAGTAACCGAGCACCGATCGCATCCCGCCCGACAACAAGCAACGTTGAAGAATTGGCGGTTTTTCTTGAGGCTCTCCAAAACAGCTAACGATAAAGGCGCCAGATGTTGTTTGCCACATTGATCAAGTGTGCTAGATTTAGATGGGGTTATGGTGACATCTCACTGGGGAACCCCTTGCCGATTTCGGCTCGGGGTGTAAGGCGTGATTATCTTGCAGTTGTCGTCATATCGTGCAACGGATGTATATAGGCGACCACATAATTCACGAATAGCAATGCCATGAAGAAGATTATTCTGCAGTATTGATACCCAAACCCAGGAAAACACATAAAAAAATGCCGACCGAGTTCATCAGCGTAACTTTCCCCAACGCCTCAACAGAGATCAACCCGATCCCTGGCGCAGGCGTTGATCCCGAGTTCCTAGTCCGGTACGCCAAGAACTTGGACGACTACGGTTTCAACTACACACTCGTTCCTTACGGCTCGAACTCATTTGATCCCTTCACAATTGGTGCGACCATCGCAGCGGTCACGAAGAACGTCAGCGTCATCATCGCCTTGCGGCCAAACACCCTCTACCCCACCGTTGCCGCAAAGGCCCTGGCAACACTCGACCAACTCAGCAAGGGCCGTGTCGTCGTGCACTTCATCGCCGGTGGAAGTGACGCAGAACAAGCCAAGGAGGGTGACTTCCTCTCCAAGGACGAGAGGTACGGCCGTCTTGAGGACTACATCAAGATTCTCCGTCGCGCGTGGGAATCGCCCGAGCCCTTCAGCTGGGACAGCAAGTACTACACTTTCAAAGACTTCCACAGCAGCGTGCGCCCGACAAAGGGCACGATTCCCGTTTCCGTTGGCGGCTCATCACCCGAGGCATACCGCATTGGTGGTTCCCTCGCCGACATTTTCGGACTGTGGGGTGAGCCGTTGAAGGAGACAAAGGAACAGATCGACCGCATCTACGCCGAGGCCGAGAAGGCCGGCCGCAAGGACCGGCCCCGCATCTGGGTCACCTTCCGTCCCATCATCGCCGAGACGGAGGAGCTTGCGTGGGCCAAGGCACACCGCACGCTTGATGCGCTCAAAGGAAACATTTCTGCCGGACAGGGCAAGCCCGGTCAGAACGGGCCCGAGCCTCAAAATGTCGGCTCGCAGCGTCTGCTTGACATCGCTAAGAAGGGCGAGGTTCAGGATCGGGCGTTGTGGTACCCCACTGTTACTGCGACTAACGCCCGTGGCGCTTCTACAGCGTTGGTTGGATCTCCCAAGACCATCAACGACTCCATCTTGGACTACGTCGACCTTGGCGCTGAATTAATTTCCATTCGTGGATATGACAACCTCAACGATGCTATTGACTATGGCCGCTATATTCTGCCTGCGGTCCGCGAACAGTTGAAGAAGCGTGAGAACGGTACCAATGGCACGAATGGGGCTTGAGGATTTGATAATTAGCGCTGGTGTATTTTCAAGGTCGCATGTATGTCCTTTTGGGCAGGCGAAGCCATGTGAATAGGTAGCGCCCTGAAAGTAGATGAACAATTACATGTAATGTCAGATACGACAACCCCAAGAGGAGCCATCAAGTGTTGTGGACAAGAGCAGTCAAGAAATGCATAGTATCATTGTTGCCACATTTTCCCATTACATCATAATTCGTGATATCCTTTCGTGGTTACATCCCTATGTGATGTAAACCGGCAGACGGCTTCCAAATATCTCGCTCTTCTCAACTTGAATATCCTTGCCATGGAAGTCATGCAGAAGCAACCAGCATACCATGCGGAACACGAGCATGCACCACACATCATTTATCTGCTGTTGCTGGTCGTGAGCGATCACCTCTGTGGAAGCATCAGAAATAATCGATCTAGCTCCACGCTCTTTACGAGCTTTATCAACCCGCAGCTGTTTGCAAACAACATGAATGACACGCTTGCGCACCGAGAGAAGGTAAATCTCGGCTAAAACACCATGCCTCTCGCTCGAAGAAGCGGAATCCAGCTTTTGGAGGAGTGACACTTCCTTCTCGATTTCCTCGTTCTCCTCTCGCGTCCTCAGAATGGGGGATGCACCTGGAACAACAAGGTCGTGTCTTGAGTCTCTCTTTGACCGGACATGATCTCCTGTAGCGACCACAACCGTCTTGTATTCCCCTTCTTTGTCATTCAAGATACGCAAGATTTCTTGCAGATGTACGCGGAGCACGTTCCGGACAAGGTTTATTCTCTCTTGATTCTGGAGGAACTCATCGCATTTCGAAATAGCCGAATGCAAAGCCATGACGAGATCGTTGGAGTAGATTCTTTCCTCAGTATTGTTTGTTCGTCTCAGGATCGCTTCCGGGCCGTCGCGAGATTCGAGCTCTTCAAACTTGTCTTCAATCTTGCCGGCTTCTTTGAGAATCACGCTAATTCGAGATTCTTCTGTACTTCTGAGCATCGGTTCGGTTGTTGCCGACTCACCCACGATGTGGACATAGTCGCTGAGGAAAGTCCTCAGTGAAAATGATTTCCGGTCCCAATGCCATATGGTTGGGTTGGGAAGCATGCGGAAAGCCGTGCCGGGGATTTGTAGGACGGCACCTACCATACCTAGGATCTCAAAAGCAACTAAAACATGATGGTCAGTACTCGACTTCATGGGTATAATAATTGATGGCAAGACTTACTTGGAAACAGATGGATGTGTCTTGTGTCTGGAGTGGACTTTCGGAAATGCCGGATAGTATTAGTGTTGCAGCCGATCACCACCAGAGTCTCTGCAATAGCCGACATGCTGCCAAGCTGTAGCGTTCCGATATCTTTTGGTTCGTCTGCGTACTTGTAGTTGTCATTATTCTGCTGGCGAAAAATCGTTGGACAATATCCAAAGCAGAGCTCCTTGACCTTATTGTTCGGCACCACCCTGTTCTCGTGAAACCAAGTCGGACCAGTCTTCTCAAATGTAAAGACAACGCCGAGATCGTCGACGTCGTAGCCGGTGATGCTGAATCCATTGCCTTGTCCGCGATAACGGTCCTCGTTTCGGTTGAACTCTTTCCAGTGAACGCCCAACATTGCCGCCATTTCCACCAGGTGTGAGATCGTTGTCGTTGCGTAAGGTTTCTTCATATTGTCCGGCATACTATCCCAAGACTTCTTCTTCCTCTGTATGCCAACGGTAAGAGTGTAGGGTACCGTGGTACTGGACTGGGTCGGGTGACAGGGTGTCTGGGCTTCCCATTGAGGGTTGTATCCGAAATACTCCTTGTCTTGCCATGTCCGAGACTCCCTCTCCATACGCTGAATAGCCATCAGCAAACTCGTCCAGTTTGCGAGCTCGTTGTCGGCGGTGTGGATAGCTTGGCGCGTCATCCCAGCCCGCAAAGTTTTGGAATGCTTGTCGTACTCGTCCTGGTCCCAGGTATACGTCTTCTTGTAACTGTCTGTCGTCCCGGTCATGTAGGTAATCTCCTTGTCATCGTGCACGCCGAGGGGTCCCCGCGGGTTCGTCGGCGGCGCAACGAATATGACGGGGACTTCGAATTCCACCTCAAAGCGAAACTCGTACCATTTGAACCGTCGTCGTGTGAACCTCGCCCAATCTCCCATGACTTTTGGAGTGCATGATGAGTAGCCCGTTGCCGACGCGTAGTATTGTTGGAGGGCCTGGAAAATCGCAATGATGAAGGCGAGAACTGAAATAACCAAGGCCACGACCGCTACAATCAACTCAACTTGGTTGTCATTGTTATCACTGTCGCTGCCGGACGAGCTTGTGGGGTCAGATGACGACATGTTGGCGATCGGATTGGGCTCCCTTGGATGCAGGCAATTGATGTTGCTCCTCTAGGCACTCGAAATGGCTGTGAAAAGGGACATTGAGCACACAGGATATTAATTCAGTGAGTCTCCAGGCCGGAACTCTCTTGAGATATTGGAAGGGAAAGAGGTCAGCACAGAGCCTGATTTATCAAGGGTTTTCTCCAGTGCTGGCAGCCAGCCTGATCCGAGCCTGGCTGAGACAAAATGCAGTTCAGCTAGGCAGCCAAAATCAGCCCCTGCGCAGGCGCAAGTATCACGTGTAACCCCTGCAGTTCTCCATAATGGAACAAGTGCAACAAATGATTCAAATGGTCTTGGGAGACCAGGGCCGTCAGGCTCTCCCGCTCGATGTAGCGTGGTGGTCATATGAACTTTTAGCGGATGTGCTAGTACTGAAAGTTGTTGGCATCTCATTCGATCATCTGTGCTAAATTATAGCTAAACTAAGGTTCGCCCCGACGCCGTCTACCAGTCTAGTGGAATTAGCAAAGCAGGCCCAGAACCCTATCGCTCCAACCCAAGACTTAGTTATATCTCGAAAGGAAAACGAGAAGAAAGCGGGAGCCATTCTCCAATATAGGATATTGGATGCTCAACGTTGGAACAGCAGATCTGGAAGACTTCTTCCAGCAACTCAGCCCCGGAGTAAGCGCTAGGCACAATGGCCAGCTGGCTGAAGTCATCGTCCCAGCTGGTTGGTTAAGTCGGTCGGTGAGGGGCCTCAGTCCCCTGTTCGTAAGAATCGGTAGTGGTCATCATTAGGTCGAGTAGCACATCCTTGCCGCGGGACATGCTGACATGCAGAAGACGGCACCGCTATTCCGGCCCAGCCCTCTGATGCACACAAGGAATTTCAATTTTCCATCCCTCCCCTGTCTGCCACCCCTCTGTCCGTGACTCTCACTGGCCATGAACGACTGTGCCTGCAGTTGTTTTCTAAGAAATGGTCATGATGGGAATGCGAGACACTCAAAAGTGGGTTGCCAGTCAGATGTCCCAAGTGAAAGTGGGCGAGCACCTCCTTAATTACGTTTCTAGCGATAGTCAGGGTTGACAAGTCATTACAAATGTAACAGCAGGTTGCACCAGTCACAGAAGTAAAACAGACTTTCTGCGCCGCCGAACCCAGCGGAATTTGAGTGAATAGAGGAGCTATCAGCCATTGAATATCTCGACAAGACAGTTGTCCAACGTCCGCTGGTCTGTTTCTCCATCTTTAATTAATCCTACGTCCACCACGTCCATCAAGAATATTGCTGTAATATGATATCCGCTGCCTGTATCAGAGAAGTCAGTCAGCACTAGAGTCACCGCACTAGTTTGGCTCCATATTCGAGCCATCTCATGCGTAGGGGCACCATCTCACCTTTTCAGCGATCGCATAGACCGTCGCCTGGGTATGCGCCGATGGAAGTAAAGGCATAATACTAGCATCGACTATCCTCAAGCCATCAATCCCATATACATTAAGGTTGGAATCCACGACACCACCAAGTCGCCTAGGAAGCATAGCGCATGTCCCAGCATAGTGATACTCTGTAGAGCTGACTCCTTTGATGAATCCCAAAATATCATAATCACTCGTGGTACCGACCCCAGGCAGCGTTTCTGATGCTCCAAGAGCTTGGACTTGCCCTGTGGCCAGGAGTTTTCGGTTGAATATTAGTGACTCAACCAATACTTGGCCGTCGTAAGGGTGGGAGAGATAACGAGGGTCGATGACGGGGGGCGCAAAAGGATCGGTGGAGTTAATCGCAACCGTTCCTCGGCTTAAGGGGTGCATCAGGATGTTCACTATTGAGCGTCCACCATCCACGTAAAGAAGCTCCATCCCAGCCGTGGAATTAAGTTGGTGCATCCGAAGAATTTGCTGTACTTGTTGCAAGTATCCATTTTTGACAGTTTGGTCAGTGTCCTGTGGGAGATACTGAGCGGTGCTACTGTTGATAGTAGACAGTAATCTGCTAGTGACATCTGACTGGGTGAAATTTGAGAGAGGGATAAACGCGAGCGCTTCCGCAATAGTATCCGTCCAGCGCCCTAAGAACTCGAATTTTAGACGGAAGTCCAATATTCTGATTGCCGGACTTACCTTTCCGTTGCGAGTAATAGAGATCTCTTTGTTCAGCATCAAATGTTGAGTTCTCCAACTCGTAATTCCCGGGTATCTCGGTACTCACTATGTGTCAAGTAAGTCGGCTATGCAATGACTTCGACATGACTGGAGACTTGCCGGTGAACTTACAAGAAGCAATAGTTAACCCGAATGGATGATCTTGCAGATTTGCGCCGACGCCTGGCAAGTCGATTATGGATAGAATGCCATGCTTAGACGTGAGTGGTGCCGGCCCAATGCCAGACAGCTGTAGGAGCTTGGGGGTATTCAGAGCACCTGCTGATATGATGACTTCCTTTCTAGCTTCAACTCTACTGACTTCCAGGCCAGATCCGGTTGAATACTTTTTCGAATCGAAGTCAGCACATCCGTCTTACGAAGGCGTTTTCAGGCCTGTATCAACATAACCCACCTCAACTCCCATAGCTCTAGGCTTTTCTCCGCCAGTATTGAACAACAGCTTTGTTGCTTGGAACCCAGTGAGTATGTCAAGATTGGCCCTGTTCATAATCTGATCATAATGAGCTGTTCTTGCACTTGATCTTGACTGATTTGTTGGGTGGATAGAATGAGTAGTTAGGTATACACCAAGTGGGTTGCAGCCTTGGTCTAAAGGCGTGCTTATTCCCAGTCCATGCATGGCATCAAGGAAGTTTGCTATACAATCATGGTGGCATTAGTTGACATAGAAGTGTTCCAAAGGTGTGGGGTGAAGACTTGCTGTTGTTCGGATGTGACCAAGCTAGGTAGCTTGATTGGACTAGACCTTCAAAACCATGGCAAGCGGCATCAAACGTCATATCATACGTGGCTGCATTCTCAGGCGTTGCCGCGGTGAACCTTTCGCTCTTCACATTGAATAGAAATGCGTTAGCGCAACGAACATCCATGCTCCTTGATGACTGTCGCAAGCGCACCTTCTTGAAGTAAGGCAGCAGACCTGCAAAATCCCAGCCCTCATTTCCAAGAGCGGCCCAGGCGTCGTAGTTGGAAGGCATGCCGCGATCAAAAATCATCGCATTGACGGTGCTACTCCCACCGACTGTATGCCCTTGCGTGAGGTTGATGGTCTGCCCCAAGAGGAATTCTTGCGGGGTTGATGTAAAGTTCCAGTCGTACCGGGTGCCCGGAGCAAAACCAGACGCCCCTGGGTAGAAGCGAGGGATCATCACAGCGGCTTCATAGTCGTCACTAGCTAGAAGTCAGATATCTCCGCCAAGTATAACGTGGTTTTCAAAGCCTACTGACGGCATGCCTGCCTCGATGACGAGGACTGTGTCTGGAGTCCATCAGCATGTCAGCAAAGCTACACAATAAGTGTATGATAAACGTATCATGAGCGTTCAACTCACGAGAGTGGTCGACACTAAGCCTTGACGCTAGGGTTAAGCCAGCGGTTCCGCCACCAACGATGATATAGTCATATAAATCACTCAGGGCTCTCGCTGTCAGAGGTTGGAATGAGGTTGCCTGAACCACGCAGGTCGCGAATACCAAGTCATGTAAAGCCAGCCGCATGATTGACAAGATCTTTACCTGTCGATTTTCGGTGGTAAAGATTGGGCTAAAGAGACCTAGGCTGGCTTATTGTTCAAATGGGGCGCCTTTTGTAATAATTGTGGTCGGATCGGGCGGGCTCTTCCCTTGCAGGCAAAGATAATTGAGTTTGTGCGAAGTCACCCTGCAAAAGCGTAATTGATTAGCAACACTGTCAATGACATGTAAGTCAATCGGTTCTACGGAACAGATGTCCTAAATCACCACTACTTCCTTGAACAAGGGGTAAAAGACCTGTGAAGCGTGTCTGCTCACCTGCAATTCGCCTGCGGCCCGGCCGGGGAAGGAGATATAGAGGTGGTGACCGTGCCTACCTTGTTGGCCAAACTTCCACCCAATGAATGTTCCACCACCCGAATACACAGGAAGCCTTTGTAAACCCCCACAAACCCATTCCTACCACCAGCCAGTGGGCGCCTGTCTAGGTCGACGGGTCAGGTCAAACTGGCTGGGTGGTGGAGTGGTTCATGGTCAACAATCAATCCTCCAAACAGCCTACTCGATGACAGGGGAGTTGTCTCTTTCCCCTCCTTTCGCAGTGCAGATAAGACGCAGAATGTCGCGAGGCAAAGAATTGACAGGCTTAGCGAATACCCGAGTTCGAATCCCAGCATGAGCACCAAGAGATGTAGCCCCCATTTCAACACCGGGGGGTGGGGGTGGGGAGGGGGGGGGAACTCTTTTTATTATATTTCTTGATCAAGTAACTAGAGACTTTTGACAGTTTACTAGTAAGAATGGAATGCTTATATTATGCATAAAAAACCTTACCTTGAGCTCCTTGACTAAGGTAACTGAGCATAATAGCACCGCCATGGGGTGTGTCTTTTACTAGAAGAACGAACGTACTCTCGATATTCTGCCTAATTGTTAGAAATTATTTCAAGAAGCCAGGTAATTTAGCAAAGCCTATATTTTTTATCAAGTTCAGCTGAAAGACTCTAGTTAGACTAATGCTCCCACGTTTACGCAGCCGTGCTTAGATACAGCCTTTCCCTATTGAACTTGAGTACCCCCGGCTAGCTCTTGGCCGTTGCGGCACATGAAAAATTGTGACCACAGTCAGCCCGCTGCTCGGAGTGTTGGCTGAGAGGGATGTTTGCAAATACATAACCATACTTTCATTGTTTTCAGAGGAAAACATTGACCGACGTTCCCTCGACATGTGTGCCTCAGTAGTAGAAACACTGTAAGTTACTTTGTAGCCACATCCGAATCAGGTAGCACACGTGTTTATCGTGGAGAACCAAGCCACCCGTGAGTCAGTCAGAAAGCCTCCAAGGAATTATTAGAGATCCAGCGTCAACAGCTGAGACACGCTTCTTTGTCTTTGTTTCTTATATCCCTGCCACCTCAGCTGCTCAGTCTTGCGGGCAATATGGCTACTTGAGGATCTAGAAGGTGTCACCTCATCGTTCCACCAGAATATCACCCCAGAACCTTCCAAAATAAAACAGACTGATACTTTTGGTAAGTATATATGATCCAAGGTGCAGATCGTCGAGACCAAATACTTATCGAATGCAACATAAGTCCTTCATCATTAGTTCCGGTGGATCATCGACCAACCTCCAACATCGCCGCCTAATGTAATACGCAAACAAAGGAATGCCAACATGCGATAGTTGTTGTTGTTGTTGTTGTTGTATTTAACGCCGTGGCGGCCGGGCTAGAGCCCTTACCGCAGACCTCCCGAAGGGTATATGGCGTGGAGGGCCGTGAGCCAAGGCTACCTACTCTACAGTACGTCGTCTCTTTACATCGTCCTCCAAATCATGCCTTGTGGCCACTACGCGTTCTGTCTGTCCCCGGTTCCCGCTGGTGCCCCAGTTTCATTCTTTCCCAAATCGTCCCTTGGAATCGGGAGGTTCTTTGTAGTCCGCACTCACATCTACCTAGGTGTGGATGCTGCTACCGCAGACAGATCTTCTGGAAGAAGTCCGTCACGCGGAGAAAGGCCTCGAAGCCTCGTGGGTCGGTGATTAATCTCTTGAAGTAGGCCTCGAGAGATCCCATAGGACCTATGGGCTCGGGCATACTGCGAGAGTGGAGGGTCGGCCACCGTTGCCTCCTCGCCAGCGTTAGTCGACAGTAGACCAGGTGGTCCACGTCTTTCGCCTCTCCACAAGAGCACATCATTAGAGCGTCGTCGTGGTTGAAACGTCGGTGATATTGCTCGAAGTCCCCGTGACCCGATCGTGCCGCCAGCAGGTGATGTAACGTAGCCCGCGGCAAGGCCAGTTCAGGAGGGCTGGACAGAGCTGCCTCAAGCCCCAAGTCCGCGTACCGCGGCCTTCGCTCTTTATACCACCATCTCCTGTGCTGGCTTTGTAATTTTTCCCTTGCAAGCCGCTTGATGCCCGCTAGTGTTGCCATTTGACCCATCCGCGCCGGCAGTGTCGTTCCTTCTTTGGCCAGCCGGTCCGCGGCCTCGTTTCCTTCGATGCCCTGGTGTCCCGGGGACCAGTGCGTCCGTATATCAAATATCCTGGCCGCTTCTTGGATTTCGAGGAACGCGTCTTGTGACGAGTCCGGCGCCTTGCCGCGGATGCCTTGTATAACGCTGGTGTTGTCGATACATATGTGGATTGGATGACCGCGATTGGTGAGCAGAGCCCTTCTGAGGCCGGTTCGCGCCCCTTCGACCTCGGCGTCGAACACTTCTGCTAGTCCGAGTCGGCCGCACCCTTGCGCTATGCGTTTGGAGTCTCGGTAGATGACGAAGCCGTACCCCACGGCTCCGTTCGTCGCCCTGGAGCCGTCCGAGAAGACGATCATATGGCTTTCCGGTACTGTCTTTAGCCAGCGCTCGAAAGCTTTCGCAGCCTCTTCTTTGCATTGAACTACTATCTGATCCTGTGAGCTTGGCAGGTACTGTGATTGGAGGAACGTTGGTCTTCCGCATCTTGGCAGAAGTTCAGCCGTCCGTTGTAGTCTCGTCTGTTGCTGTCCCTGCTGGGAGAGCCGCGCGACTAGCGGTGTCGGCGATCAATCCTCTGTAGTCGGACTGCGGCCCGTAAACGGACGCCTTCTAAGGCGACTTTGGCTGACGGTAAGCCGGCGTCTCGGAGGAGGCTACTGGTTGGCGTTGTCCTCCAGACAGGTAGAACGATCCTTGCTGCCGCTGTAATGACGCTGTCGATCTTCTGCACGAGCCCCTTCTGGCCTGTGTTGACGGGTCTTCCTTGGAAAGGCGGACTCGTGTCTGTCTCCGCTTGGCGTCTCGAAGCCGGCTTCGTGATACCTGCGTACCATGTTTCGGCGCCGAAGAGCGCGATCGGCAGTACGTAGGAGACGACGGCTTTTCGCACGGCGGCCGCTGGCAGTCCTCTCTTTGTGTTTGTAAGCTGCCTCAGGTGTTGAGCTGCCTTCTTTGCCGCAGCTACTCTTGTGTCGACGTGGTGCCGGAAGGACAGTCTCTTGTCGAACCAGACACCCAGCCAGCGTACAGGATTTGTCGAGGCCTTGACCACCAAATCCCCCGCCCTGACCTCTGGCAGCTCCGCTGGCTGGCTGTGCTTCCTAGTAAAGTGGATGACCTCGCACTTGCTCGGGTCGAAGGAGACCTTGTTCTCCGAGCCCCATCTGAGAATGCCGGCTGCGCTTCGGTTGAGTATTGCGACGTTGCTCTCCAGGGAGGGGCTGATGGCCAGAGTGGCGATGTCGTCCGCGTACCCGAATCGCGCGTCCGGGTCGTCTTCAAGGATCTCCGCGATGTAGAGCAGAAAGACGATGGGAGATAGTGGCGACCCCTGAGGCAGCCCGCATGACAGAGGAAAGTATTCCGTCGTGCTTTCTTCCAGTCGGACTCTGGCGATGCGGTTGCAGCAGAAGCTGAAGATGAGTCTAATCAAGCCGTGTGGCCATCCCTGCTGACGCAGTCTAATGACGAGCCGGTTCCGAAGGACGGAGTCGAACGCCCCTTTTACGTCCATAGTCAGAAGCGTCGCCGTGAGCCCTTTTAGGAGGGCCGTTTCGATATCGTGGGCGAGGCAGGTCGTCAGATCGACGGCTGACCTGCCTTGTAGAGCTCCGATCTGTTGCGGACTGACGATGCGCTCGACAATCGCCAGAGAAGCCATCCTTCTGGCTATTAGTCTCTCGAGTCCTTTGCCCAAGCACGAGAGGAGCGCGATCGGCCGCCAGGACCCGGGCTTGGAGGCATCCCTGCCGGCCTTCTGGATCA